GGCCAAGTGACAGAACCAGGTCTTCAAAGCCCTTTGGAAGGCCAGGAATGAGGGGGCCAATTGCATCTCCCAGGGCAGAATGTTCCAAAGAGCGGGGGCTACCGCAGAGAAGGCCTGCCATCTGGGCCCTGCTAATTGGAGTTCTTTTACTGAGGGGATCCGAAGCATGCCCTCTCTGTGTGATTGGGTGGGACGGGTTGAAGTCATGGGGGAGATGCGGTCCCTTAGGTAACCTGATCCCACCCGGAAGCAAACTGGTACCCAATGCAGCTCGCAGAGCAACGGCGTTACATTGGCCCTTCTTGGGGCTCCAAGAATAGCCCACACGGCTGCATTGTGGACCAGCTGTAGCTTCTGGACACTCTTCAAGGGTAGCCCCATGTAGAGTGCCTTCACCTTTCAGGGATCCTTCTCAAGTTAGCTTTGTCTGGCATTTACATTTCCCATCACTTTGACCAGAAGGAAAAAGCAATTTTGGCTTTATCAGGATTGTTTTGGCGGGGAGCTTTTAGAGAGGAGGAGGCTTTAAACTCCATTTTGGAGGCAGCTGAGATTTAGGGGGAGAAGAGGCTAAAGTCCAGCCTTTGGGGGAAATGGGTGAAGAATGATGGGGAGAAAAAGGTTCATCTGCCATTCCTAGCAATCGTCGTTTGGGGCAAGGAGACCAGATAGGAAACATGACCAGATGAGCTAATTCCACTTTATTGTAAAGCTACATGAACAGAACCTTGCAAGTTTCAAAGTACAGTTCTCCTGCCATCTCCTTTGCAGCCTGAGAAACCAGGGAGGGTCCCTTCTGAGCCTCTTGCCCTGCCCACTATCCAGCTGCAGGTTCAGCTGCCTTTTATCTGACTCTTCCCTTGGTTGATCTCTTTTCTCAGTCTCCCAAGGTCTTTCCCACATTCCATTACAGTAAGTGTATGTGAATATCATCTGTACAGAGCCCAACCCATTAATTTACCAGGCCTTTAAGGTAAAAAAGATTATTAATTCCTGCTATCCTACATGTACCCATAATTAGGTAGTCAAGCACAATTGCCTTGGGAGGAGAGGGGAAAGGGGGGGAGATGATGACATGTATCATGATGTCAGCACACGAATGACTTACATACTTGCATCATAAGTAATGATGTCATTACATAATCACATCATTTACATGATGTCGGGATATATGGGTTATGATTCTGATGTCATCACAACTTGTTACGGATGTCACTGCAGTGCAGAGAACAGGTAACAGGTTTGGGAGAATCTTAAGGCTGGGGACGCTACAAGAGCATCATCTTCATCAGAAAGGTTTGGGATTACTTTAGGACCTAAGGTAAAGCATTGCATTGTTTTAATTTTGATGCTGGGTTTGTTTGATTACATTGTAGGTTTTACTAACTCTGCTTTATTGTCATTTTTTAAAAAAACGACCACTGCGTTGCCCAGAAATAAAATATTTAATACTACACTCCCCCAAAACTGTGTAATGAAAACTGATCATGTTCAATGCCCATAAAACAACACTGGGTCTGAATGCATTTGTGCATCATGCTAAGCCGTTGTTTGTTGAACAAACCATAGTTACCTGATTTACACATAATGATAAGTCATAAACTATGGTTACAAACCACAATGGCTAGACTCATATATCACACAAAAGAAAACAAAACAAAGACATATTATGACAATGTAAACCGGAGGTGAGGAGAATAGAATAGCCCTGTCTGGAAGCCAGTAGGGCCTGTGTGGCGGAGTCTTCCAGCAAACTCTGTAATTGACAGTGGTTTGCCAGTAGGCAGCCAAGTTGGGGAATGTTTATCCATTCAGACATGGCACCACTAAGCTTGTCCCTCTGGCAGTTCTTTTAAAATCTTGCTTAAGTACCGAAGACACAGTGCTTGGAGCCTGGGCCTTTTCTACCGCTTATTATTTAAGGCATGGTCTATTCTTCTTTTCAGCCAGGGGGAGAATGGAAAGATTTAAATCTTTCGCGTGTGAGCTCAAAGAAAGTTACAACCTGTTGAACTACAATTTGTAGTACATGCAGTAATACAGTTGGGGAAATTTATCTGCTCCAAACTTCCCGAGATAGACAGTAGTATGACGTAGCGTGATAAAATGTGGGCTGAAGGAACAGCCATGATTGTAAAAAGCCCTGCTGAGTGCATTTCTCCTTTGCTTGATTGTCAGCTATGCAGTTCTATATACAAGAGTATTCACGAGTAATTGCACAGAGCAGTGTTTCTCAACCTTGGTAGCTTGAAGATGTGTGGACTTCAACTCCCAGAATTCCCTAGCTTGCATGCTTGC